TTATAAAAGTAGAACAGTTTTTGAAATATAATCCATTTTAAATATAATATGGAATTGACTATATCTCAAAAACTGCTTAACTTTTATAGTTTTTGACGGTCTTTTTGGATTCAGGGGACAATCTTACATAAGAATTGGCTGGTAAATGTCCGGAATATAAATAGAGTATGATATTGGACATATGTCCAATAATAGAAATTTACATTTTTTACGAACCAGTAATTGGACACTGGCCATTTTACTGTTTGTTTTCAGAATTAAAATTAAAACGCATTAAAGTGATAATTTTTAAACCATGAGGAACACATCTATACCGTACACTGATCTGTACACTTTTTAGAAATATTTTTTATTGTAATTTACACACAGCCCTGCTCAAAAAAACAAATATCTTACCACAAAAGTAATGTGCGAACTTTTGTCCTATATTGGACCCAAAATAAAGTAGTTCTATATTTTACCGACTCAGATAGTTAAATTGTATACCTACAGTGTCATCTAATGATTTGACTATTTATAGAAGAAAATTTAAATTTTGTAGTAAAATAATTATGAAGAAATCATTACAAAAATGACACAATCGCTCAAAGTTTTTAGTATTATTAGTATTTTGACCCGTATATATTTTAATTAAATAAATTAAATATTTTAATTTTTGAGTTCGTATTTTGAAAATTATATAAAAATAATCGAATTTATAAAAATCCTTAAAAATAATTCAAATCCATTAAAACATATTTAAAAATCTTCAATAATCTAAAATATTTTTAGTGTATCAGAAAAACTGTTTTAGAAAATACAAAATTAAAAAAAAACACTTTTCATATCTATAAATAAATTTATTAAAAATGGACCAAAATGTCCATTAGAATTTGTAAGAAAATCTTAAAAAAGCTGTAAAAAAAATAATAGTAGGTATTATGGTATCAAGTTTGATAAAAGCCATCACAGATTATAAAGGATGGAAACAGTGTTTTTTAGTAATTAGACGGTTCACATCATTTTAAAAATCACACTAATGTTGTATTGTTGTTTGTTTAAACAATCAATCCATTTTCTCCCATGGTTGTACTTGAATAATAATTAGACAGTTTAGAAATTTTCTAGGAAATTTTAGATTGCTATCATTAAAACATATTTTTTTTAAGAAAAATCGAATATTTTTACATTTAAATTTAAATAATAATAAATTATGACAAACAAAAATCATCAAAACAACTTATTTTTTTCGATAATTAAAATTAACATTTAAGTTTAAGCTTTATAACTACTTATTATTTCCACGTATTGAATTTCACGATCACTCAAGAAAAAAACTGACACAATGTTTAAACATTTAGCCTCAAGCATTCGATTTGGTAATAATTCCTAATAGATTTATTTTGTAAAAACGATTTAACATAAAAAATATGTACTTAAGTAAAACAAGTTTTTTTCTTTCTACTTATTAGGCAAGCTAATCACATTAAGTCGGATAAAATATTTTTATAAAAACTTTACCAAATTTGTTTAAAGTTCTTTGTTATAATCTCAAACGTCAAAATTATCTAGCAATGTAAGCACAACATTATTATGTGTAGATAATGTGGTACTATTAAGTTGTTCTGGCCAATATTTTAAAATTTGGCAACACTGTCCAAAAACGACACTGCTGATTTAAAACATCTTAAAAATAATACTGTCTTTAATTTAGTGTTGAGGTTACATTTTGAATTTTAAAACAGGTATTAAAGAGATCATATAGAGAACAATATCGTTTGAATTATAAAAATGCGCTGTTGCCAGCTCTTTTTTCGGCTACTTTAAATGTAAAATCTATTTATTTCTACAATTTTTGGTGCTGTCAAGGTCCAAACAAAAAAATCGAACGTTTATAAATAAAATGCAATTATTTTTATAACTAATAAGTAATACATAATTCAATGGTTCTTATTAAGCTTTGAAGTCAATAATTATTATGTCAGGGTTTTAAATGATTAATTGTCAAGAATTTTCATTAAATGCACTTAATTAGATATTTATTTACAAATTTAAACAACATTTTTTCAAGGACATTTTGTAAATATAAAAAAACCAGAAAACCATGCCTCGCAAGATAAACGCTAGAAAATTGCGACGTTGTCAAATCGACTTACTTTCGACATAATTTTTCAAACAAAAAAATCTTGCTTTCTAACTTTATTGCAGATAATTTAAAATTATTAATTACAAAATATATCTGTAAAGTTATCGGTTTAATTATCTACTTCGGCCACTCGCTATTAAATTCGCGATCGTAAAAATTTAATAGCCACAAACCAAACCATTGTTTAATAATAGGATTAATTATATTAAAATATTCGCATTAAAATGGCACCTAAAACATTAAACTATCTAATTAATGCCTTTTAAATCAAGAAGACTTAATAAAGGAGGAGTCATAATTCCCCGCGCATTTAGTCTTCTTGGGTGGACGTTTCTGTAACTAATTGTTTTAAATATGCAAATAAGCATAATAATAGAATTAAAAGTACATAAAAAACGATGATTTATGAGTCTAATAACAATATATCCATAAAGACAAATTATGGTTAACTCTGAATGATTTATTCTTTATTAAAAAATCATCGATATATTTATAAAACAACCAACACTATTGTTAAAAAATTTACAAGCTAATTTTATATTCACAAGATTAGCAATATTGAATCATTAAGATGAATGATAAAACAAAATTTAAGCCTTTCCAAGGTCTGTAATGTGGTTAGGTAGTTGAATCTTTTGTTTATCCAAAACAAGGTGTTTTAAAAACATTAGTTGACAAAATCAAAACATCGTGTTCTACGATGACTCACTATGCCGTGTAGTACTTTAATAATAATCAATATTATTTATGTGACGGAACAAAGAAATTGTTTTTTTACAAAAATTATCCCGCACTTTTATTTAAGTGGAATACTGACGCTTCTACCCCATGGGACACATTTTTAAGCCCTCTATTTACAAAGATATTGCTTCTATAGAAAGTGACAACAGGGGTGAAATATGCATGTCAATAGTATTAAATACATATTGTAACAAAAACACCTCTTATAACGACAAAACCTACAATTAAACGCAAATATATCACAATAAGAATGCCTACATTGTTATTTTTATAAAACACGTGGCAACACCGTATTCATTATGTGATTTTTAGCCTCAAATGCAGATTCAAAATCATCAAAACTGACATTCTGATGCAACAAAGTCCCCAATACCAACAAAATGTGAAGGGTATTCACCCCAACTGTGTTAGCTGACTATTAAATGACATTTCTGTGATGGCGCTTCGTGTCAAATCCGATGTTAAACCACCCTATGACATGGTACATGTTTACGCTTGAAAATCTCTAATGATGATTTACGAGTCCCAAGGGCAAATTAAATATTACATTTTTATTATTTTCTTTTCTTAAACAGCACAAAAGAGGCATGTTCGAACTTAAAGGTTCGAAGATTAGGAATGTAAATTTGCCGCCATTTCCTTTCACGATTCAAATGGTTAAAGGTGATTTTTTGTCGTGCCCGGATATTTATTTAAGATGAGTGTTGGTTAATAGATATCGGACACATTGATATTTAATCTACTTGAACAGTTTTGTCAATATTAAATGGAAAGATTACTCGAAAGATTATGTTATATGGAGTAAACATTGGTTGCATGGGGGATTTTATTGTTAAAAAATAACATATTTAAGTTTTAATTTACCTTCAATGTATTGCCTGCAGGCACATGTTGCATTGCAAGTAATAAGCCGTTATTTTTACACTTTTTTTTAACTTAAATCAAGACAACGAATAGGCAATTCTAATTCGTTGCCCAACACAAATACGTTTGACAGTTTTATTTCTGTCAAACATGCTTGTATCACAAAGATTTTGCTATTTTTTTATTCAAGAGCACTAATTTAAAGTATATAGCAATAATTTTAGGCATGTTTATTTCTTGTTTAAGCAATAGGTATATTAGTAGTTTTCTTGATTAAAATGAATGCCATAGAAGGCTGTTTTTTGTTTATATCGCAGTAAGCTGTGTTGTTTATAAGGATGTTACCCTTTTTAAGGTTAGTTTCGAGAATATAAACATGAGAGAGGTCGATAAAAACTCGTAACATAAACATTTGTTTTATTCTTTCAAAACAAGCCCTGGTCTTTTAGAATTCGGGTAAAAACATGTTGGACGTATTCCAGAGGAATACCCAGGTAATTCCAACATGTTTACATAAAAGTTTCGGTTTATATTTGAAATATTTTGTCTTGAAAACTTGTTTGAGGCCGGTACTATAAACAACAACCTGTAACGGTGCATAATGTTTTTGTGGCGACTCCGTGCACTTGCCAGTCAAAAATCTGCTAAATAAGGCATCTTAAATGATAACGCTTGCATTTGCAACGGCAATGCATGTTGGAAACATCGAATACATACCAAAACAGAACGTCAAAATACAGCTGTTCTTGTATCGAATCCGATCACATTTCCAATCAGTTTGAAAACTTAAATTTCACACCAAACACTTTTCGCACACAGTAGCACTTCAATAAAACGACACATACTACAAAATACGTTCTAAATATACGCCACTATTCCCATCTCGCTCACCGCTAGAGACTACACCGCGTATATTACTTGCACACGCGAAGATGGCTGACAGACTATTCGAATTTTGTTTCGTTTGAAAAACGACAGGCACGCCACCTACTCAACACCAACGCAACCGCAACCACACCCAACAGAAATCTACTAAACGTCAAACGCCATCTATGGGTAAATAGCTGAAGTTTTTTTTGAATGTTGCCAAATTCACTATTTTTACACTCCAAAACACTTCATATCTTGCCATTAAGACAAAAATCATTGCATATGTATGAAAAAAATAATAAAAACAACTTAATACCTATACAATATACTGCATGCAAAGCAAAAAATCAATACAAACTATAAAATCGTTATCTTACCTGCAACACCGCACTAAAATGTTTATAAATCCAAAATCCAGTAAATCGTGAGATGAAATCATTAATAACACTAATATTCCTCACGTATTTAACGAAATTCTCTTACTGTTCACCGGGCGACAGATCGAATTACTTTATAAGATGTTGGGAGACCTGCACCCACCTGAATTGTTCAGACGGTATACAGAAGTGAGGTTATAAGGCATTGTTTATATTTTTTATTGCAGAATACAATGTGGAGTTTATAAGCAGCCAACAGCAGCCTTTTTATTTGAAACTGTTGAATTGGAATTGCGGGGACGAGTGTAAATATGTTTGTATGTGGAAAACTGTTGAGGCTTTTCATAAGAGGAATTGGGCTACACCTCAATTTTTTGGAAAAGTATTACACCCTGTATGAGTTATTTCTTTATTAAAAAGGGTTGTTTCAGTGGCCATTTATTAGGATATTGGGCATTACAGAACCGGCGTCAGTATTATTTTCTTTGTTAAATTTTTATGCTCATTTAAAGTTGTTAAGGCATTTTCGTAAGGAGGTTAGACCAGACAGCCCTTGTTATTGGTTGTGGCATGTTTTTTGTTTGGTAAGTTATTATTAACCAAAATATTTTTTTGTGTTTTACTTCTCTTAAAATAGGTATGTTTTGTGAATATTAAGATAAAAAAATACAATTTTATTAAAATTGTATTTTGTAATACATATTAATACACTACAAAAAATGTAGGTATCATGGGTACCTACCTATTTGAATTATGGATATGTAAAATTTAGGCCCAAACACAAAAATATTTTACCTTTGATATTTTACATTTCACTTCTCTTAGCAGTATTTGTGGAATTCCAAAGTTTTAAATGTAAAATTCAAGCCAAAACACTTTGTTTTTTCAAATAAATGGGTCATTATATTATTAAGGCATTTTTCAGTTGTCCCTAACATTGCCTAATAAAAAAATAATAAATTTAGACAGCTAATATACAGGGTGTTATGTAATTAATGTAATATATTAAAAATTTTAATATATTACATTAATTACATAACACCCTGTATATTAGCTGTCTAAATTTATTATTTTTTTATTAGGCAATGTTAGGGACAACTATTTTAATTTAAAATACTGAATACCTTTTGACATAAGGTGTAACAGAAAAATATTTAAAAAATATTTTTCCCAAAGATAAAAAAAATATGCATTAGAACTTTTTATATTGTTTGTGATACGCCACTAAATACTAAATACTAAAAAAAATTCTTGCAAAAAATAAATAAAAACTCAATAAATACAAGTTTTATGCCCTTATTTTTTTATCGGTTTTTTCTTTCTCCTTAATCAGATGAGATTAGGAAAAGTTCACAGGTTAAACTTTAAACATTTAATTTTTATAAATAAATCCAAAAGCACTTCCCTTAGTTAAGATATTTACAATTTGAGTACATAACCTAAAATTTGAAAGAAATTCTCTAGATTCTGTCATAAAAGTTGTCATTACAAAAATGACATAATAAACAATTAATAAAAACGCCAAATTAACAATTTGCATTGTTAATTTTGTAATTTTTTAAACAAAATTTGGCAACATTTTTGACAGAATCTGGAAACGCTGGTTGTTACCAACCAGAACAAAATAAATTAAATTAGGCAACCAGATTAGCCTAAAGTTCCTAGTCGATCAGTGGCGTACTTTTTGGTAGGATAAAGGTTATTATAAATAATTTTTAGTATTTAGAATTTAGAAAAAAATGTTTCAGGTGCTAGACCCATTTTTATATATTACATTAATTACATAAGATTCATAAATAATAACCTAAAATGACCAGAAAATTGTTCACTTAAATATAAAAATATTTTTAATGTCTTAATTAAGGTTGAAAGTTAGCATCACACTCTAAAACCCCATGTCCCTATCATATTGCATTAGTAAAATCTTTGATATATTTCATAAGTTTTATATGAAACAGAATTCTAAAACTAAAATAAAATATAAATAAGTAGCTCCTCAGTACTAAAAAAGAATGTGATAAAATGTCTGTAAATAATTTAGTAGTAGTTTATAAGTGTGATACGCGATGACGCCGTTGCAGGCAATGTTATCGCTATTGTTATTTTGCGCGTTACAAACAAGTAGCGTTTTTGAAGGTTATCTTTCGTCACGTCATTTACTCATTAAGTATTTGCAGTATTTAGTTTTCTTTTTTATGTAAAGTGTAAATGGGCTTAAAAGTATAATGACCCAAATACTGTTTATTGTACATTCCGTGATAAAGCGGTAAAAATATTTTTTTAAATTATCTTAGAAAACGTAATAATAAAACAGAATATTGTAGGTGTGTTTAAATGCATGGGTATGGTCGACCATATTCCATACAAGAGATACAGAGTTTACCGAATTAATGGACTATTCTTGCGCTTTTTCTATGGTTCTCATGTCTTGTTACTTAATGTTGTACCGTATTTTGCGTAACGTGGTACACAAATTCGTGATGGTGATAATAGCGACGTTTTTTGTCGCGTATTTTTTCAACCACGTCACCTACCTCAGCCTGGGTAAATTCGACTACAGATACAACATGACAGTTAACGTCCTTGTAGGTAATATTTATTATCACGTAACAACAATGGAAAAAAGACAATAACAAAAAAATTGCAGGGACTGTGACGGGTTCGTGCTGGTTCGTGTGGTGCAGTTGGGTGAGGCAGCGACAATGGTACGTCTGGAAGTGCGCGATTTTCGTCGCGCTCACTGGTCTGGTGATGCTTTTGGAAATTATAGATTCGCCGCCATTTTTTTATCTCATCGACTACCATTCCATCTGGCATCTATCGACATCGATACTTATAGGCCTTTTTTACAGGTACTGTACTGTACTCATTTTTTCTTTCCCCCTAAAAAAGATAGGCAGCTGGTAATATGGAACGCCCTCTATCGGCGACTACCACAAGCTTAGCAAAGCGTAGAGCTGAGAATATTAGCAACTTTTAACGTTTTATAGAAAAATTAAATAAAAATAACGGAAGTTTAGTAAAAATTTTCTATGTTTCTATGGAAAAGTTTAAAGGAATCAGCCCCACAGTCTGAAGTTGGCTTAAGTTAAAGTTGGCTTTAAATTCCTTGAGGTAGTTAAAGAAAATATTGGTCAAAAGATATGGCACGCCGTTTTAGCATTTATTAGATAAAAGTTTAAAGATTAAAGTTTAGCACTTAAATTATGTTTTAACAAACATTTATAAAGTTGAATTTTTTTAAACTCAAAACAATTGATAGTCGAAAAATAATTTAAATATAAAATGCAACAGTAAAAATTTATGTTTAAAAATATTGATTTTTAAAAGTTTTGGTTGTAATATTTTGTTCTACAAAATTATTGGTTAAAATTTTTAAAGTCATTTAAATAATAGTTAATAAATTTTTAATACAAAAATTCTCACATTACATTAAATGTAAGTTTTAAATTTTAAATTAGTAATTTTTGGATTAAAAATGTATCGACTATCATTTAAATGACTTTTTACAAATTTAAACCAAAATTTTTTATTTTTAACAATTTTAAAGTGATATATTTTTAAGACTAAATTTATAACTTTACATTTAAATGTAAGTCGATAATTTTTAAGTTTGATCCGTTGATGTTTTTAATTGTCGAATTAACAATAGGCACTAAAAATGTTGTTGTTCTATTATTAAATTTATGTAATACAGAAACATTTCATTACGATAATTTGTAAAACGCGTCAAATATTTATGGAGCAAGCACGATTTGGCAACACTGCGGATCAAACTGGCTGCAGCGTGGCTCGAGCCGAACGGATCCGTTCTTGTGCCTTGTACTAAAGCTACCTTTACACTTTGTAATTTAAAAATTATCGACTTACATTTAAATGTAAAGTTATAAATTTTGTCTTAAAAATGTATCAATTTAAAATTGTTAAAAATAAAAGTTATTGGGTCATTCCACGTTACTCGGTAATTTTTGTCCCGCCCGTCACAATTAAAAATTGTGAGTAAAAACCACAAGTTATTAAATTAATATTTTATAATATTATTTTTATTGTGCTAATAACTTATTAAAAGCATAATAAAACAATATTTTTAAATAATATTTTATAACGTGTAGTTTTTACTCACAATTTTTAATTGTGACGGGCGGGACAAAAATCCCTGAGTAACGTGGAATGACCCTATTGGTTTAAATTTGTAAAAAGTCATTTAAATGATAGTCGATAAATTTTTAATGCAAAAATTACCACTTTAAAATTTAAAACTAACATTTAAATGTAATGTTCAAATTTTTAAATGACTACAAATTCAAACCAATAATTTTGAAGAATAAAATATTAAAATTCCATTTTTTAAAAATTAATAATTTTAAACTTAAACTTTTACAGTTGAATTTTATATTTAAAATATTTTTTGATTATCAATAATTTTGAGTTTACAAAAATTTAACTTTTTAAACTATTTTGGTAGAAAATGTTTTATGTGTTTTTATTTCAAATGGCTTGATACTAGTTTTAAATACTAAAAAATTTAACTTTACCAAATTAATCTCAATAATTTTATAAAATATTTCTTTAAGTTAACAAAATGCCACCCAATTAAATTATACTTGGGAAATTATATTTATTAAAAAATGATAGTTAAAAATGTTTGCAAAAATTTATACAAAATAACATTGTTTAATAAAGAAGTGAACTGTTGGTTAGTAAATTTTGTCTTACAATACATGATAGTTGAAAATATTATAAATTTATTAATGTAAACCTAAAATTTTTAGTTAGGAAAATTTTAAACCATATTTAATAAATCGTCACCTGAGAATTATAGTGTTCTATCTACATTTTCTTTTTTTTATTCAGGTTAGTCTTGTTTTAAGTCTTAAAGATGATATTGATCTATCTATATATAATTGGGGTAGAAATTGTAAAGTTTAAGGCTTAAACTGTACAATTTCTACCCCAATTATATATAGATAGAACAATAGGCATCTTTAATACTTAAAACAAGACTAACCTGAATAAAAAAAAGAAAATGCAGATAGAACACTATAATTCTCAGGTGACGAAATGTTAAAACGGCGTGCCATAAAAAGACGTTTAAAAAATTATCTTGACAATTACGAGCATGCCCTTAGCAAACAGTATAAAACATGGGGTTCCATATTATCACCCTCTCACTTAATTGAACAATCTGATATTTTGTTGTTTCGTTTTAGTTTTGCAGTTGATGATTGCAAATATTTAAGAAAACAAGAGATGGAACAATTTAAGCGACCTTAATAAAAAACGAATTTAAAGTAATGTTGAAAAACGTAGTCAATTTTGTTTTAGGAATTTTAAAAATGTTGTGCAATATTTATTACTATTATTATTATTATTATCATGTAATGATTCTACAACTACAATTTTTTATTGATTGTAAAGTTTTAAAATTTTGTTGTATAATTATATTATTATTATTACTATTAAAGTTAATAAAAATGTTTTACTTACAAAAATGCCTCTTTTTTGCCTCTGGTTTTTTTGGCTGTGAAGACCAATTGTTAAACGTGTAAACTTCACTTTTTCTACCATCGTCGGATTTTTCGATGTTTTTTACCAAATATTTTGTGTAATTTGACGGCATACCTTTTGTTTGGGGCATCCTAAAATAGTTTGGTAATATGTAATATGTCAGCAAAATCTTTTTTGATTTTGTTTCGTGTAAGAATTATTACATTAAGGAGCTTCAACTTCGCATATTCTTTTTGGTTGGTAAATACAGTTTTCAAGTTGGTCGCATTGATTAAAACAAACTAAGCTAGTTATAAATCTAGTTGAGGTTATGTATAAATTATTGTAGGTTACATTGTGCAGTTGTCAAGTTGAGTTGTCGAAATTCGTAGTTAAAAATGCAATTAATTTGGCTTTGGTGGTGCTTGGATGAGTAAAATCATATAAAAAAGTAGTTAGATATAGGTTGCTTTACGGCCCAGAAGAGAAAATATTCCTAGCGGATAATAATCTTCGCTTTGAAAAGAATTTATATAAAAGAAATTAAAATTTTTTGTAAATGTTGTCCAATGTTGAATAATGTGTGATGTAATATATATAAAACCAAATTCATTACTTTTTTACTCCAAAAATGTCCATAAGGCGATGTACTTTTTCTTCCATTGTGGTATTTGGCATAATTTCATCAAAATGAAGTTTAGCCCTCAAAAGGGCTTTTACATTCGAATTCGTTGCTATTATTTTTGGCATAATTATCTTTTTATTTATAATTGACAAGTAAATATCAATAATAAATATTATTGTCAATTTGATAGTGTCAAAGTATTTACTTAAATTCTTTAGCAGAAGTACCATTTTTAATTACTAAAAATACTAAGTCAAACTGGCATAAGCCACCAACCTAACATAAAAATACGAGTCCAGATAAAAAAAATTAACTGTAGTTTAGTTTAAACAATGCAACCAATTTTGGTTCCGTGTTTACCAACCAAAACCCTAAATTTGCAACGTTGCCGCAGTCCATATAAAAAAAGAACTTTATTTATGTGAAAAAACCTCTCGTTTATATGAGTTGTACTATGCGAAAAATAATTGTTTAATTTTAAAATAAAAATGTCAAAAAATATGCGTTTTGGTCAATCGGCAGTTAATTCTAACTTAAAAAAAATATATACGTGAAATAGTCCACTCGTGATAAAATTTTCCCTGAAATTTTTTTTGATTTTTATTTACTCAAGATTTTTCCTCGTGGTCTTAAAAATTAATGCCCTGAATACCTTAACCCCTGTAAAATAAATTGTTTTTTTTTGTAAAAAAAATCTTTTCTTACTTTTCTGGGCTTGGGGTCCTGGTATTCTTATCATCGTTGAAGCCAAGCTTTGGTGGCGCCCTGTCCGATCGCTCTGGGCTTGATTCATGTTTATGGGGTTTTTTCTCAGGTTCCATGACCCTAAAATTTCTATAATTTTCTTGCGTTCTTGGTTGGTTCTCCTGGTCCGCCAGTCGGTGGCTCCTATTTTCTTGGTCCGCCACCTTGTTGGGACTGGAATTTCTCTTCATTTCCGGTTGCTCGCCTTCCAGTACGTTCTTGGGGTGTTTCGGAGCGGTTGGGTTGCCTATACCGTAAGCATACCCGCACGTGGTGTACATGTTGTTACCCTTGCTATTTTTTCGTTTGTCCGAATTGCTGTGCGTTCTCACGCACATTTTTTTCAGCTCTTCAATGTCTTTGCGTTGCTTTTTCAGTTCATTTAGAATGTTGTTGATGTTTCTGTAATTTTGACGCGACTCCATCTTAATCATCATCCGAACGGAGTCCAAAGTATCCTTATCGTCTTTGGGGTATACCAGGGTATTGCTATTTTTAGCTCCACCAGGACTTTGACAAACCTAATTATAAATAAATAAATAAATAAAGTAGATACGATTTTTCTAGATACAGTATAAAATCTTTCCATCTCAAATTGACAAGAAGGGGTAGGTCGTTATAAAAAAAAATATTAAAAATTAAGTAAATTCACACAATTTTTTTAAATTCTTTTTTCTAAAAAAGGGAAGGTCAAACAACATTTTTTTTTCGTTTAAAGTTGATAAAATGAACAACACCAGTTTCATGACCCTAGATGAAATACCAGATATTTGCGATGAGCCACGAATTTACTCGAAAATGGCATTTTCATTAAAAAAATATTAATTCCGAACTTCAAACGAAAAAAATATGAAGCAAAAGAAGAATGTCAAAACATTTACCCACAATTAAAAAAAATGTAATGATCGAACATTTTGTTAAAAAATAACGACCTACGCTAAAGAAGTATCGCTAGTAGCGCCACCACTCAACAGTGAAATACCATTATATTATGTACAATGGGCCAAAAAAATCAACTTTTTTTTTTTTTGAAAAGTATATCGAAAATATGGTTTGGGATGATAAAAAAATTATCCAAATTAGTCCATAATATTATTATTAAGAGGTCTATCATCGAAATTTTAATTTTTTTTTCCTCGGCATGTTTTAGGCTCAGAACTCCCAAACCATTGAGTTTAACAAAATTGACTTAAAAATATTTTTTTAAGAAAATGAAATGCTCTACAAAAAAGGTTAAAGTGAAATTTTCCGTCAGATGAACATTTTCCTTAAAATCATGCCTTAAAAATTGGTATAGTTTTATATTTTGATCTTTTAAATTGGAATTTTGTAATTCATGTAAAAATCAGTACCCATAAAAAACCGATAAATATTCTTAAAGGAAATCAAATGCTTTACAAAAAAGCCTCTTTACATTTTTGACTAAATTCACTCAATCAAAAGTTATTCAAGGTTAAAATTTCGTTTTGACTTCAAATTTAACCTTGAATAACTTTTGATGGGGTGAATTTAGCCAAAAATGATAAAAGAGCATTTGATTTCCCATAAGAATATTTATAGTTTTTTTTCAGGGTACTGATTTTTACTTGGATTACAAAATTCCAAAGTTAAAAGATCAAATTGTAAAACTATACCAATTTTTAAGGCCTGATTGTAAGAAAAGGGTTCATCTGACGGAAAATTCCAATCATACCTTTTTTGTAGAGCATTCAATTTTCTTCAAAAAATATTCTTAAATCAATTTTGTTAAACTCAATGATTTGGGAGTTCTGAGACAAAAACTCGCTCAGGAAAAAAAATCTAAAATTGCGATGATATTAATATATATCAAACTTTTGTCACCCCAAACAATATTTTCGATATACTTTCCAAAAAAAAATAGTCGATTTTTTTGGCCCAGTCTAATGTACTATATATAAAATTATGTTGTCATGAATTCGTAGGTATATTTTGTTGTTTAAAATTCAGTAGAGAACTCAAATATAAAAATGGTTGATTTTAAGGTTATGTTTGTGTAAAAATTATTTTTTACTAATTTCTTAAATATAAATTATATTAGGTAAAGTTATCATTAGTTAATTCTGCACCAACAAAGGTACTTACCGAATTGGATCCTTTGGCAAAACATGAAAATGCAACGATTTAGTTCTTGAATTTTATTTACAATTAAAAACAGAATAATTCACCATGATCCCTTAGATAAAATACACACACTAACGTAACTATATAAGCATTTAACCGTTGAGTTTCTTAAACAATGATATAAAGAATAATCAATCGAAATCGAGTATATAATTTGTCGAGTAAGAATTTAAAAATTGTGTACAGTTCGTATGCTTTAAATGTTTTGATGACAATTCTTAAATTCACGAAATGTTTTTGAGGTCCACCAGATGGCGCAATACTTCTTTAGCGTATAGCTCTCTAAGGTATAAATTTATATTCAAAAAAGGTAAATAAAATAGTACAAAAACAATAAAATTTTGTATGAAGGTGTCTCACCTGGGCGTTGTAATTTTCAACATTGGTTTTACTGCTACCAAGTGCTACCTTGCCTTTTTTCGAGTTGCAGCAACATTTGGACTCAGTTTTTTTGCAACGCTTCTTCTTTTTGCACGACTTGCAGTAACATTTGCCGTCCCCTTTGTTGCAGCACTGCGAGAGGGTCGCGCTGCCATCCAAACAGGGCGGAAGGCACTTGCACGACTTGCACCCACTTGTCTTCGATTTCTTCTTCTTCAAAGCCTTCTTACATTCTTTTTCCTCCTTTTTCCGCTGCTTCTCCAGTCGTTTGAGTTCCGACTTGCTGCATTTGCCCTTCACTTTGGTACGACTATCGCAGCTGCACGAAGTTTTACCCGAAGAAAAAGACGCTTTGCTGCAACAGTTGCAGCACTTCTTCTTCTTCTTTTTCGAGTGGGGGCAATCTTTGTGCTTGCATTTGACATCAGGGCCGTCGAATGCGCACGCGCATTGGCACCCCAAATTACAGCTCTGCGAGCTGTTTTCTTTTTTGGCGGTTTTCCTGACTTGCAGTTTAATCTTGGGACAGCACTTTTCTTTCTTCTTGTCGAGAGTGCAATCGCAATAGTAGGTGCTGGAAGTGTTCAGCATTGGCTGGTCGTTGTACAAGTTCCCTGTTTTCCCGATTTTCTTCTCGTCTGATGAGCTGGAGTCCATGTTGGACGAATGGGCCGAGGACACAACGTAAGTATGTCGACTGTTTTTCGTGTAAGTATCTTTTTTCTGATGAAGGGAAGTCTGCGAACAGTTCGAAGTTGTCTCCGCGAATATCTCCTGGCACAGCTCGTCGCCTTTCCAGATCTTACCCTCATTGGAATTTGGATTTTTACAAAAGTGTTTGCGATAATTTAACCATTGCTCCGAGATAAACGAACTAAGCGAACTCACTGTTTTTTTTACACGCGCATTTTCCCTTACCATTTATAAATTAGCCGGAGTGACCTTAAGAAATTTGCATTTAAATTTGACATTTTGTGACGTAAAATTTTGAGAGAAAATATTCGCGCTCTTCCTAGATACAACTTCAAATATTCCAGCCCTGTTTCCTACACTACCTACCTTTCCTACCACAGTACAAATATACAGAGTTTTCAGAATATTTTTACGACTGCGCCAAAAAAATCAACTATTTTTTTTTTAAAGTACATCAAAAATATGGTTTGTTTGAGTCCATATTATTAATATTAAGAGGTCTATCATCGCAATTTTAATTTTTTTTTCCTCAGCAAGTTTTTGTCTCAGAACTCCCAAACCATTGAGTTTAACAAAATTGGCTCGAAAATATTATTTTAAGAAAATTAAATGCTCTACAAAAAAGGTTAAAGTAAAATTTTTCGTCAGACGGACCGTTTCCTTAAAATCATGCCTTAAAAATTGGTATACTTTTACATTTTGATCTTTTAAATTGGAATTTTGTAAATTTCGTTTTGACTTCAAATTTAACCTTGAATAACTCTTGATTGAGTGAATTTAGCCAAAAATGATAAAAGACTTTTTTGTAGAGCATTTGATTTTCCATAACAATATTTATCGTTTTTTTTTCAGGGTACTGATTTTTACATTAATTACAAAATTCCAAAGTTAAAAGATCAAATTGTAAAACTAAACCAATTTTTAAGGCATGATTGTAAGAAAACGGTTCATCTGACGGGAAATTCCAATTAAACCTTTTTTGTAGAACATTCAATGTTCTTCAAAAAATATTCTTAAGTCAATTTTGTTAAACTCAATGATTTGGGAGTTCTGAGACAAATACTCGCTCAGGAAATAAAAATCTAAAATTGCGATGATAGACCTCTTAATATTAATAATATGGACTTTCACAATATTTTTTTTTGTCACCCCAAACCATATTTTCGATACTTTTCAAAAAAAAAATTGATTTTTTTTGGCCCAGTCTACTGCCATACCTTGGGAAAATATTCAGGTTCACAAATAATATTAGGTTGATAAAAATAAAGTTAAACTAAGAAACGTTAGCCTAGGAAAACTCAAGACGAAATTTATAATTATTTCAAATTTTGCGCCATTTTGGAGAAAAAAAAGCTGTTTTTAATCTAAAATAAAACAATTTTTATGTAAGTATATGTTATATTCACTATTATTGTCACAGTCACATAAGTTTTGATACAACCAATACAATTTTTTTAATAACAAGGTAAAAAAATGTAATTTGACACTTCAAAATACAACCAGGTCAATAAAAAATTACAATTTCATAAAACAATTCATCAAATGTGATATGTTTATAAAAACGAATGCTTCAAGTATGTTTTCTCAAATATTCAGCATTAAAAAAAATTAATACGGAATATTCGAGAACACATCATTATTATTAAGTACATTTAGATATTGAGTATTCTTTAGCTGTCAAAAATATAACAAGTAGAAAAACGCACTATTCTTGTCCATTTTATAAAACAAAAATCTTTATATTCATACAGTCCAGCTGCATTTTTATTTGGAAGTATTTTCATTAAGGTACAGCCGTAAGTAGGAGGCATACTATAAGCTCTTTAAATAGATTGCACTTTTTTTAATTATTTTTTCAAATTAAAAACTACAACAATTAATAACTTTAACCCTATGATTGTAACATGATACATATGTACACTATCGCAGTTTTGTTCATCTAGTTTTTTTCTACAATTTTGTAAAATACTGTTATTTATATATAAATAAGACTACCAATGCTATAATTGACTTCTAATTTTTTTATATTTATTTTAGTCTTTTATTAGTTTAGTCGAATTAGAGTACTTAAATAATAAAAAGTATTAATAAATAGTCAAACAAAGTTAACAAGTCTATGTACTCAAACAAATTACATATTTACAAAACAACTTTGTACAAAGTTTATACATTTTTTACAACGTAAAATGATAGGGCAAGAAATCATTTGGTCCTTTAAATTATTAATGAGGATTTTGGTCTTTAAAATAATTAAGATTGTCTGAAGTCTTGAAGATATTGATAAAATGACAACCTTAAGTAAACAATGAAACTTGGATAACCCAGTCATTTTCTTTCTTTAAACATCATACATCTTCCTTGAGACTACTCATTAGGCTGGTTCAAAAAAAGACCCCTGTGAAAACCGCGCATCGATAATTTTTATTTTCCATTTAAATAACATGGGAAATTTTGTTTTGTTTCTTTATAATTTTCTAGCTTACAAACTAATTAACAGATTTGTATGCGCGAAATATATTCTTGTAGAAAATTGAACGCTCTACAAAAATGTCTCATATCATTTTTCGATAAACCAACGAGTTCAAAAGTTATTCAAAGTCGAAGTTAAATTTATGTCATAATTGCATTTTTTACTTCAATTTTAGGCAAATTCATAAGTTAGTTATTATCAAATATAAAAAAAAATCATTCAAAAATCAAAATTACGATGTTCAATAAGCCTTTTAAATCAATTCCACTGAAACACCTACTATTTTTGGAAAGAATTCATTACAATTCTTTTTGATTGATTAAAATCCTTTTTTATTGATTTGAATCTTTTTTAATGAATTCTTTCCAGTAATAAAACGTGTTTCAGTGAAATTAATTTGAAAGGCTTATTGAACATAGTAATTTTGATTTTTGATAATAACTTTAATGAATTTGCCTAAAATTTAAGTAAAAAATGCACTTATGACATAAATTTAACTTTGACTTTGAACAACTTTTGAACTAGTTGGTTTATCAAATAATGATTTTTTGTGGAGCGTTCAATTTCCCACAAGAATATATATCGCGCATACAAATCTGTTAATTAGTTTGTGAGCTGGAAAATTATTAAGAAACAAAACAAAATTTCCCATGTTATTTAAATGGGAAATAGAAATTCTCGATGCGCGACCTCTACCGTGAAGATATTTCAGTGCGAAATTTCAAGAAAAAAAATAGTTGATTTTTTTGAACCAGCCTACTTACTACTATGGCACGCCGTTTTAGCATTTATTAGATAAAAGTTTAAAGATTAAAGTTTAGCACTTAAATTATGTTTTAACAGAAATTTATAAAGTTAAATTTTTTTAAACTCAAAACAATTGATAGTCAAAAAATATTTTAAATATAAAATGCTACAGTAAAAATTTATGTTTAAAACTATTGATTTATAAAATATTTTATTCTACAAAATTATTGGTTTAAATTTTTAAAGAGTCATTTAAATGATAGTTGATAAATTTTTAATACAATAATTCTCACATTACATTAAATGTAAGTTTTAAATTTTAAAGTAGTAATTTTTGGATTAAAAATTTATCGACTATCATTTAAATGACTTTACAAATTTAAACCAAATTTTTTTATTTTTAACAATTTTAAAGTCATATATTTTTAAGACAAAATTTATAACTTTACATTTAAATGTAAGTCGATAATTTTTAAATTACAAAGTGTAAACGTAGCTTTAGTAGAAGGCACAAGAGTCTGGGATCGGTGCCACGATGCAGCCAGTTTGATCCGTTGATTTTTTTTAATTGTCAAATTAACAATAGGCACTAAAAATGTTGTTGTTCTATTATTAAATTTATGTAATAAAGGAACATTTCATTACGATAATTTGTAAAACGCGTCAAATATTTATGGAGCAAGCACGATTTGGCAACACTGCGGATCAAACTGGCTGCAGCGTGGCTCCGATCTTGTGCCTTGTACTAAAGCTACGTTTACACTTGTAATTTAAAAATTATCGAACATTTAAATGTAAAGTTATAAATTTTGTCTTAAAAATATATCAATTTAAAATTGTTAAAAATAAAAGTTATTGGTTTAAATTTGTAAAGAGTCATTTAAATGATAAATTAATGCAAAAATTACCACTTTAAAATTTAAAACTAACATTTAAATGTTGTGTTCAAATTTTTGTATGAAAAATTTATCGACTATCATTTAAATGACTCTTTACAAATTCAAACCAATAATTTTGAAGAATAAAATATTAAAATTCCATTTTTTTTAAATTAATAATTTTAAACTTAAACTTTTACAGTTGCATTTTATATTTAAAATATTTTTTGATTATCAATAGTTTTGAGTTTACAAAAATTTAACTTTTTAAACTATTTTGGTAGAAAATGTTTTATATGTGTTTTTATTTCAAATGGCTTGATACTAGTTTTAAATACTAAAAAATTTAACTTTACCAAATTAATTTCAATAATTTTATAAAATGTTTATTTAAGTTAACCAAATGCCACCCAATTAAATTATACTTGGGAAATTATATTTATTAAAAAATGATTTTTAGAAATGTTTGCAAAAATTGATAGAAAATAATATTGTTTAATACAGAAGTGAACTGTTGGTTAGTAAATTTTGTCTTGCAATACATGATAGTTGAAAATATTATAAATTTAGAAATGTAAACCTAAAATTTTTAGTTGGGAAAATTTTAAACCAATAAAATTTTCAATTATAAAATTATTTAATAAATGTTAAAACGGCGTGCCATATACCTACTACTCATATCAAAAGTGTAATCAATGACCAACATACTGCGTATGTTGGTGCCTAGATTATCAGAAGTCTTAAGTTGGGTTCTAACAGAGAAATAACGTAATATAATTTAATTTAACTTTAAAAGTAATTTAATTTAATTTACTTGCGTTCATACAAAAAGTAACGTAATTTAATAGTGTTTTAAATTAAAAACAATATTTTAATGAGAGTGCTTACTTAATGTATCTAAAACTTAAAGTTTTAGATATATATGGCTTACTTTGGTAATTACAATCGAAATATTTGTCTTATTATTAAAACCGTTTACACAAAATAGGTTAGATTCTCCCAAAATAGGTTAGATAATACGAAATAACCTTGAAATAACGTAATTTAATTTAAAAGATAAAAGTTGGCCAACTATTAAATTAAGTTTTAAATTACATCACTGTATGAACGTTACTAAGGATTGTTGGGTTTTTAACTTTTAAGTTAAATTAAATAACATCTTAAATTAAATTACTTTTCTGTTAGAACCAGGCTTTAGTTATGCGCAGACCTTTTACCGCTCATGTACCCGATCCATCTTTCGGCGGTTTGGGCAAACAGCGGATCGCTGTCTATGGTATGCAGCAGCAAAAGTTGATTGACGTGAGTCGCGTGGTAATCCCACCGCGCCAAATTCGGCGCCGTGTGAATGGTGAAGTGCCTGAGATCATAAGAAGTAACGCTGCCCATATCGAAGAGCGGCAGCATGTTCCTTAAGGAATCCATGCCGTCGTTGAATAAAAACTCAGCCTCGTCCGCCTCTCCAGGCGGCGCTATGACCTTCAAATCGTACAGACCCAGCAGGGCGTAGATGAAACCGTTCAGCACGAAGGAGGCGGGTTTGGTGGGGTACTCCTCGTACCAGTGGTACTTGTTTAAAAAGGTGGCCAGCACGCCGCCTTTGCTGCTCGGGACTCTAAAAGGCTTTAGCCCGTTGAGGGCTGCGTTTAGGTACCTTGTGTCGCCGCCCGAGTGGTGATACGCGCGGGCCAGAAGGGATATGGCGTGGCCTTGGCCCATCGAAGAGTACCATCCCGGTTGGAGGTCACGGAAGCCTTTGCCAAAGAAAAACGTTTTCAGATTTTTTTACCGCACAGATTTCGAAGCAATAATGTTTTCGTACGCCATTTTTTTCATGGAATTTCCATAAAAAATAAACTATAAAAATCAATTGAGGAGCATCCGTGCAAAACCGGCTAAATCCATTTTATTCAGTTTTTGTTTATTTTTTGATTTCGCATCTTTGGGTTCATTTCTATCGACAACCAAGATAATTCAGTTTAAATCCGACTAAATCCATGTTAAAATCACATTTAAAAGGTAGCTTTTGAAGCAAAACCGGCCAAATCTACGTTTTTATAGCAAACCCAGCTATATCCAATAAATGATAATAGGTGGCTTGGATATGTCGATACTACTACTAAAATTTGTTCTGTTTTTTCATGTTTGCACTAAATTTATTTTGTTATTATTTTTGAATAATAAAAGTTTTTTTTCACATTTTATTCGTTTTTTATTCGGTTTTCGAACAAAACATTTTTTGAAATTTTGGCCTTAATATAAAGTTTTTGAAAACGAAAGTATGTCTTATAAATCAAGTACGACAAAACCCACAAAACTCAAGTTTGCTTTTTCTTTTATCTGTAAAGGCCAGGAAACCGAGAGTTTTTGACATTTTCTCAACATTTTATTAAAGTGGATATAGCCGGTTTAGCACGGATGCTCCTCAATTGTTGCTATCAACATGATCCTCTAAGTGCGACCCAATAAAATGTTATCCACGGTATTCGGCACATAATATAACAGATTCGATAACAGCTAGAATTATTTTATTATTATTATTATTTTAATTATATACAGGGTGTTGCACATTTAGGAAATACGGGTGTTTTAAGTTCGTGGTCCATTGAGAGGTTCTGAGAAACGGCAAAAGATATCGATTTGAAATTTTAAAGCTTTTATAATCCAATTAAGCCTGTTTTTATAAAATATTTTAAACAAAATACCATTTCCGGCTTGACCGAAAGTGACATCAACTTTGTTATTTTAATAAGAACATATATTTTTACATTTTTTAAAAACTTAAACAAAGCACTTTAGTGATATGAACGTGAAAACCTTTTTTGTCAAAAATTAAATGTTTTACAACTTTTTTATTTGAACTTTTTCGGTAAAACCAGTCATTCGCTCGATTTTCTCAAAAATATGTGAGAAAAAGTGAAAAAACGACTTTTGGAGCTACTACAATCAACGTAAATAAATCAAAAATAAAATTGATGCAGGGCCTTTCAAAAACCGTGAATACTATGCAGAAAATTATGGTGATAAAAATTATAATTCAAAACCCGGCCAAAATATAGAAATTTAAAGTAAAAATGATTAAAAACACATGCTTTTTATATGGAAAAACTACAAAATTGAAAAGGAAGTACTTAGAATCAAAATTAAGGGCTCAAATTTTCAGGGAATTTTTTTTTCAACCTAAAAAACAAAACTTTCATGTGTCAGCAAGAAAAAATTTTTTTATTCATATTAATATTCACCCATATTAACTCTTCTTAACTGGTTCTTAACTGGTACTCACCTGCCGCTAATTTCCTTTTGACCGGTATCTCCCACCCGCCGGTCTTTCCGTCCTGATTCCTCACGAACCACTCGGCTGCGTCGTAGAACTGTTGTATGTGCTCCGACGAGGACAGGGTCAGGTTGTCCAAGGCGCCAGAGCCCTGCAAGACTATCTGCACGATTTTCAGTTTGGACCGAGGGATCTTGTGCTTGGACTTGTCCTTGTCCAGGTAGCTGAGACCCTTTTGCAGGTCGATGATGAGATCGCGCGTCATTTTTTTCCACTCGTCCGAGCTGCCTATGCCGTAGTAAACGTTGTTGTCCTAGAAGAAAGTGCGAAAGAAACGCTTTGAGGGTTTGTCAGGTTTTTATTTTTAAATTTCTATAGATTTTGAAAATAGACTTTAAAAAAATGATACCCGTGCTTCGGTGTTTTTTCAGATCACGTCATATTTTTTTTAAGTGAGATCCAATATAATGTTATCCACGGTATTCGGCACATAATAATATAACAGATTCGATAACAGCTAGACAGTATATTTTTATGAAAAATTTATTCACTGAATAAATGGACAACCATTAACATTATTTATTTATTTTAAAGTTATTTTAATTATATACAGGGTGTTGCACATTTACGAAATACGGGTGTTTCACGTACGTGGTCCATTGAGAGTTTCTGAGGAACGGCAAAAGATATCGATTTGAAATTTTTAAAGCGTTTATAATCCAATTAAGCCTATTTTACTAAAATATTTTAAACAAAATGCCACTTCCGGCTTGACCGGAAGTTACATCAACTTTGTTATATTAAATGGGAAAACCCCATATATTTTTACATTTTTAAATTCTTCATGAGTAAAATTACTGTACCATGTCCTATACCTAGAGTAAATAGTATTGGAGAATATGACAAATGCGCGTCAATCAAAAACAGCCTATAACTTTCTTGTTATTAGGTTTGCAGAAATGGGGGTGGAATTTTTGGAATCCTAAAACATTGTTTAAAAGATTGCATGTCAATTTTTTAACATACCGGGTGTCACATTTAAAATAAAAAAGTTATTAACGTTTCAAGTTAGCCCAATTTGCCCTGGGGTTTCTCGGGTAATTTGTTGAAAAATGTTAATAGGAAATTTTTTAAACAATGTTTTAAGATTCCAAACATTTTACCCCCATATCCGTAAACCTAATAGCAAACATCTAGAAAACTATTCACTTTAGTTATAGGACATGGTATAGTAATTTTACTCAGAATTTTATGTAGAATTTAAAAATGTAAGAATATATGGGGTGTTCTATTTGAAATAACAAAGTTGATGTCACTTCCGGTCAAATCGGAAGTTGCATTTTGTTCAAAATTAAAAAAAAATAGATTAATGGATTATAAACGCTTTAAATTTCAAATCTATATTTTTTTCGTTCTACCGAAACTTCCAATGGACTACGAATGTGAAACACCCTGTATATCAAGTGTTTTTAGGTTGTGATACCACTATAGATTCGAAAGCAATGCATAATCGTCAAAATAAAAGATCAAGATTTGTTTCCAACATATATTTAATATAAGATAAATACAAATCTGTTGTTTTATTGAAAAAAAAAATCAAAAATTAAAACCAGAAATATTTTTTTTACTTAAAAAAAATAAAATTGTTACCTTAGTATAGTTTTTGTATTATATAAAAACATAAAATAGTGAAGAAAAAAAATGATTTATAACAAAATGGAGAATTAAAAATCTGTTAAGGTTAAAATAATAAGAATGGCTGAGTAAAAAAATTAAATGACGTGATTTCGTGAAACGGTGAGACAAGGGTACGTTTTTTAACCTTTATTTTTAAAATCTGTTAAAATTTTTCTTGGGTGGAAAATCGTGTTGTACTGTGTTATAGTTAAGATTTATTAAGAGCGCAATCTATACCTGTTTTATATTTTTCTTATGTAAAGGCAGAGAAAATTCCGGTTAAATCTAAAATCTGATTTTTTCTGTATTGCTTCACTTTAAACAGCTGTATCTTTTTTAAATAAAATGTTTTTTAACTTTTTCTTTCAGAATCTTACAAATCAAGGTTTTTTCTTTACATTGGTGTATTATTTGCTAATATTACTTACCTGTAGTGTTATAAGAAGACTTGAAGTAATATAGTGTAGATTGTAGATATCCTTGGTTTCTCGGTTTTGTAGTGTAACACTTAAGCTACTGTTATCACTCAAAATTAAATTGAGGCTTATCACAAAATCCAGAACATGATCCATTTTTAGTTTGACCCCTTCGCGGTAATTATCGCTGGTTCTAAATTTGAGTATCCTGCTCGATAATTCTTTATCGAATAATCTTTGCACTGAGGCCGTCGTGGGTACAAACCATTTTGCGTACTCTTTTTCGGCATCTTCGATGACTTTTTTCCTGGGTTCAGGTTCGGTGAGATTCTTGCTGTAATGCGAGAGCCCAAACTGGGCTATCTGGGTGGGGTAGTAGTACCCACTGCTCTCCCATTGGGTGGATACCGGCACGCCCTCTACACCACTGACGCATTTCACCCTCTCTCGTACTTCGACATTGTAGTTCTCAAAGTACATAAAAACGCCTTTCGGGTCGTATTCCTGCTTCGGATGGTAAACTTTGCTGTAACTGTGCGACCATTCGAACCTCTCCAAACCGTCGTAGGTGGCTAACTTGCCGTAAATCTCGAAATATTTGTGCAAGAACGAAAAAGGCAGATACACCTCGTCCCCTTCTTTCCGGCAACCAATCACATATTCTCCATTAATGTCGCATTCTATCTCTTCCGCTCCTTGCATGTCCAATCGTGACAAACTTAAATATTTACTGTTCGATCTGTAAGCATACGATTCCACACCGCAGTAAGAATACAACAGGAGCAGTGAAAATATGCCGATTAATAATATAAACAGTAATACCACTTTTACATTAAACCTCATCATTACAAAAAATAGTGGAGGATCCTAAAATATAACAAAAAGTTTTTATTATTATATCATGTTTTTATATACAGGGTGTTATGTAATTAATGTAATATATTAAAATGGTTCCTTAGGGTTAATCTAGTTGCCTAATTTAATTTATTATGTCATGGTTGGTAACAACCAGATTCTGTCAAAAAAGTTGCCAAATTTTGTTTAAATTTTATTTAATTACAAAAATGACAAAATCAAAAGTGCAAATTGTTAATTTCGCGTTTTTATTATTTGTTGATTATGTTATTTTTGTAATGAAACAAAATCTGGCAACTTTTATCTAGGTAGTGCATTTCTTTCAAATTTTAGGTTATGTGCTTGAGTTGTATGAAGCTGAAGCAAATGGATTGTAAACACATGATTTTATATTTAATAACAATTTGCCAAATAATTATTTTGTGAAATTGAATCAGTGAGATTAAGAACAGTACAAGTCCAAAAATTTAATTTTCATATTCTAAATTCAGTTTTAAAGTTCAAAATTCATTTTTGTGAGAAGATAAGTCATTTGACAGAATTTGAATATTATATTTTATAATAGTATATTATGTATCAAGTTTGATAAACGCCATTTTATACACGAATTTAATTTAGGCACGAGCGAGCTTGCGAGCGAGTTCTTAAATTAATGAGTGTATAGAAAAGTTTATAAACGAGGTGCATACTATACTTTTTCTACGACAAATACTTATTATTATCTTAAAATTATTTAAATCAAAAATTTGTATAGTCTATTAGAGCGCCATCTATGAAACAACAGGGGAAACTGTCAAATGTCACATTTTTACATTTTATAAACACAATTATAAAGGTTATAAATCGAAATGTATATTGAAAATTGACAGTTTTTCACAGTGAAAGTAAAGGAAATGTTTTATGAGGACTTTACAGCAGAGTCCGTGCCCGAATTTAAGTTATAGCTGCCGGCGAAATTAAAAGGTCAGTACAATGTTCATATAAACTTTTCAAATATTGGCGTTGAGAAACCATTTAATATTTTTGTAATGAGATAATAAAATAATTTTCACATTTAGTATTATTTTACAAGAAAGGCACTTTATTTTAACAATTGTATGACATTTGACAACTGTTAACTAACTTAAAACTAACTTCAGCCCGTGACTAAAGCGCCGTAAAACCACAACTTGTCAATTTGTATTTAAAAGGTCACTTAGTGTCATGGAAACATGTACGATAAAGGGCGTTTTAAAGGTGGGAGTAGAAAAAATTATTAAAATATTCTTACAAAAATGTATTAAAAATTATAAAACTGTTTTTTTAAATATTTGTCCTAATTTTAACTTGTGGACTTTTAGTGTTTTTAATCTCACCGATTCAATTATAAAACTAAAACTACCTGACTGCCAGTTTTAACCTCCTTTGGGTTTTGTTTGTATGTTTGTTTATTTGCTAACAAATTGATTTATTTATCCATGTATGTAATTAAAATGAAAATCTATACACTCTATAGTTAAACTTCATTAAAAAAATGTTTTTAAGTTATAAACAAATGATTTAGAACACGGTCAAGTGGGAAAAGCCAATTTATGAAATAAGTCACCCTAAACATAACCCCATTTCTTTTCAAATATATCAGAGTTTCTAAAAGTTATATAAACATTGATGGACATGTTCAAAAAATTAATAATTTAGGCAATATTATGGATTTCTGAATCACATATGTTGGTTAAAAACATAAGTACACAACACCACACAAGGAAAGACTATCCACAAAATCATATAAAAATTGTTCTATTTTAACTGTTGACACTAAAAACAAAATATACACCCCCAAAATATGTATTTTACCTTGATGCTGTGGTAGATTTTTTGGCCACCGACCGTGCCAACGTTATTCTGCAAATTACTCATTAGTTTTCACATTGCACTTCCCTGGGTCTGGTGTGAAATAGCCGGTAATTCAACATTTCCTTTTTGGCATTTTTAAATTGCACCGTCGAAAACAAACATAGGGCATCTCACAAAAGGTTATCGAGCTGTCAGTTGGCTGTGTGACACAATGTTCTTGGCATTTTTTAAGGTAGATGGCGTTAGGTGTGTTAAATCGGTTATACGGGGGAGGTTCGATGTGTTAGTGTGTGATCCCGGCGAATTCGCCATTTTTGCAAACATGTTTGTGATGTTTAGTGGTGGAAACGATTGTTGCAGTATTGCTTTAATATTGCACACGATTCTTCATTTAATAATCGTGCGATTAATATAAATAATCGAATGGTGAAAATGATGAAAATAACAAAAAAAAACTTCCTATTAATTATTTTCCGGAAACGTTTAGTTTTAGATACCTATAATATACCTAATCGAATAATAAAAAAAAATTACAGCACTCTAAATAAATAAATTATTATTATTATTATCGAAATATATTATTAGTTGTTTTTTCAAATAAAATTATTGGAAAAAATCGAATAATAAAAATAAATTACAGCACTCTAAATATATTTAGAGTGCTGTAATTTATTTTTATTATTCGATTTTTTCCAATAATTTTATTTGAAAAAACAACTAATAATATATTTCGATAATAATAATAATTTATTTATTTAGAGTGCTGTAATTTTTTTTTTTATTATTCGATTTTTTCCAATAATTTTATTTGAAAAAACAACTAATAATATATTTCGATTTCATTTATTTATTCCAGTGGCATCCAGGGGCATCTTAGATGTAATTTATATAAAGAAATATGACAAGCCACTGCTTTTTGTTTGTTTTGATATTTTTTTCGAATAAAACAATTACTTAAATATGACATATTATATTAATATTAATTAATATATATGTATATAAATATAACGGTTTTTCAGTAGGGATGATATGCAGTGGCGTACCGGCCCCATGGCGCCCCCAATAAATATAATATAAATTTAATTGGTGCAATTTATTATTTACTCATAGTTTATCGACAAATTTCAAATTTTATTTAAAAAATGCAAATCATACAGATTTAATATCATTTTAAATTTTTATTATTTTTTTGAAAAGTAGTCAATCTAATTTAAATTGATTAAAAAAAAATAATCCAAAAAAACCATTTCTTTTCCACCAATAAATCTTTTATTTTTATGAATAAAATTCTTTCACAACATGTATACACATGTATGCATCTAAAAACCGTTGTTTATACAGGGTGATTCACCTAACTTATTCATTAGAAGTTTATGGAGAACGGAAAAAGATATCGATTTGAAATTTGTATAGCAATTATAAGCCAATGTAAACTACTTTTTAAAATTATTTTCAATGCGTTATCACTTCCGGTTAAACCGGAAGTGATATCAACTTTGGGTTTTCAAATGGAACCATATAAATATTATTGCATTTTTGAATTCTACGTAAAATTCTAGAAATACTAAAATTTGATTATTTTTTTTATTTTTAACAGTTTTTGAGATATTTAATTTTTTTTTTAAATTTTGACAGATGGATTGTCTTACTAATATGTCTGTATTACCACTAATTGTAATGTTAAAAAGTTAATTTTTGGTGTAACAATTAACTAAGGAGCACTCTATCGAAAGCCATTAATAGTATTTGAAAATTTTATACAGGGTGTACGGTATTTACGTTGACTTTTTTGTCACTTAAAATACCTATAACTTTCTTATTTCAAATGAAACTACCATACAATTTTCATATTATTGGACACAAAATAATGTTTTCTATTGAAATGCTGCAGCATTCCCTATACCTAAAATCAATATTTACAGAGATATTACAAAAAAAGTGAAAAAACCGCTTATTTTTTTATTTCTAATATGAGTAGTGTGCGTTGGATTATTATATCTTTTATTTCGTATTTATGAAGTAATGTCAATGTCAACGTCTCTGACAATTGTGTTACAATGGATGATAATAATTACACTAATCAAGATATTCTAAACATGTTTTATACATATGGCGAGTGCGGAAAAGTTTTAGAAAGGATAATATCAAATAAGAACTTTTAATGAGAAGTATCGCAATTTAACCTCACTCACCAAAATTAAATTCCGGACGATAGAGAATAGATTTATTAATCATGGCGCAGTAAAAGTAAAACGAAATAGCCAAAAACTGGTGACAGGCAACGAAGATAATCAAATCAACGTCTTGGGATTTTTAAATGCAGAGCCCCAAGGGTCCATCAGAGGAGTTGAAGCTGCCCTTGGCATTCAGTATACATCTGCCCAGCGGATACTTAAGAATACCGGAATGCACAACTACAAGTTCCTAAAAGTGCTAGGCCTTGAAGATGCAGATTTTCAAAGGGAGCGGTTTTGCACGTTTCTGGGGAAAGTTGATGAGGATAACTCTTTTCTGGGAAAACTTATATGGACAGACGAAGCCAAATTTTCCAGAGAAGGCATTGTTAATTCAAGAAATCAACACTTTTGGTGTGCTGAAAATCCACATGTGGTCCGGCAAGGGAATTTCCAAAAAAAAAATAGTTTTAACGTTTTTTGTCTGTTGATGAAGGATCAATTTTCATTTTGTATCTACGAAGAGAACCTGACATCAGAAAAATACCTGGAAATATTGAATTCGACGGTAAGCGAATTTTTGGATGAACTGCCTTTAAGGAAAGGTTTCTTTGCTGGTACCAATTGGATGGCGCGCCGGCACATTGTTCTAGAAGGGTTTCGGAAAATTTGCAAATATTATTTAACGAAAAATGGATTAGAAGAGGTGGTCCAGGGGAATGGCCTCCAAGGTCACCGGACCTAACACCTCTAGATTTTTATCTTTGGGTTGTTATAAAAGCTAAAGTTTATCAAACACCCAGCAACAGCAAAGAATCTCTTGCTCAGAAAGTGAGACAAGTGTTTTCGGAATTGTCCCATGAAGAAATTTTGAGAACAACTTCTGAAGGTGTCTTGCGACGTATCAATATGTGTCGTGAACAACACGGGCGATACATTGAACAATTACTTTAGATTTGTTTTATTTGTTACATTTGTTTATTTTTTCAATATAATTTTTGAATTTTAAATTGATATTTCTTTTAACGTTGTTTAATACGAAATAGAAACAATCCAACGCACAATACTGATTATACACATTAAAAGTTCATATTGTTCTTTCTAAAACTTTTCTTTTTTGTTTAGTGTAATTATTATCATCCATTGTAACACAATTGTCAGAGACTTTGACATTGACATTACTTCATAAATACGAAATAAAAGACAATCCAACGCACACTACTCATATTAGAAATAAAAAATAAGCGTTTTTTTCACATTTTTTGTAATATCTCTGTAAATATTGATTTTAGGTATAGGGAATGCTGCAGCATTTCAATAGAAAACATTATTTTGTGTCCAATAATATGAAAATTGTATGGTAGTTTCATTTGAAATAAGAAAGTTATTGGTATTTTAAGTGACAAAAAAGTCAACGTAAATACCGGACACCCTGTATAAAATTTTCAAATACTATTAATGGCTTTCGATAGAGTGCTCCTTAGTTAATTGTTACACCAAAAATTTACTTTTTAACATTACAATTAGTGGTAATACAGACATATTAGTAAGACAATCCATCTGTCAAAATTTAAAAAAAAAATTAAATATCTCAAAAACTGTTAAAAATAAAAAAAATAATCAAATTTTAGTATTTCTAGAATTTTACGTAGAATTCAAAAATGCAATAATATTTATATGGTTCCATTTGAAAAACCAAAGTTGATATCACTTCCGGTTTAACCGGAAGTCATAACGCATTAAAAATAATTTTAAAAAGTAGTTTACATTGGCTTATAATTGCTATACAAATTTCAAATCGATATCTTTTTCCGTTCTCCATAAACTTCTAATGAATAAGTTAGGTGAATCACCCTGTATAGGAACAATTTAACTAGAAACTAAAAAAACTAAAGAAACTGAGGAAACTGAAGAAATTAAAGGAACTAAAAAAAAATAAGGAAATTAAAAAAAGTAAATAATTTAATGAAACAAAAGAAACAAAAGAAACTAAATAAACCGAAGAATCTAAAGGTCTAAAGAAACTTAAGAAACAAAATAAACTGAAGAAACTAATGAAACTAAGGAAGCTAAATAAACTAATAAAACAAAAAAGAAGAAAGAAAGAAGAAAGAAGACACTTAAGAAGCTAAAAAAACAAAAAAACTGAGAAACTAAAAAAGCTAAATAATTATTTTCTTTAGTTTCATTAGTTTAAACTAATGAAACTAAAGAAACTAAAGAAACTAAAGAAACTAAAGAAACTAAATAAACTAAAGAAACTAAAGAAACTAAGGAAACTAAAGAAACTAAAGAAACTAAAGAAACTAAGGAAACTAAAGAAACTAAAGAAACTAAAGAAACTATAGTTTATAAAGAAACTAAAGATATCAAAGAAACTAAGGAAATCAAAGAAACTAAAGAAACTAAAAAACTAAAAAAAAAATTAAGACAACTAAAAAACAAAAAGAAACAAAATGAAAATAAAGAAATTAAAAAAAAGAACTAAAAAAACTAAAAAAAACTAAAAAAACCTAAAGAAACAAAAGCAACTAAAGAAACTAAAGAAATTAAGGAAACTAAAGAAACTTAAGAAACTAAAGAAACTAAATTTAATAAACTTAAAAAAAAAATAAAGAAACTAAAGAAGCTAAAGAAACCCAAAAATTTAAGGATCTAAGGAAACTAAAGAAACTTAAGGAATAAAATAAAAAAAGTAAAAAAACTGAAGAAAGTAAATAAACTAATGAAACTAAATAAACTAAAGAAACTAAGAAATGTAAAGAAACTAAAAAAACCGAAGAACCTAAGGAACTAAAGAAACTTAAAAATTAAGACAACTAAAAAATTAAAAAAACTAAAGAAACAAAAAAAAACTGAAGAAATTTAAAAAAAAGGAGCTAAAAAAACTAAAAAAATCTAAAGAAACAAAAGCAACTAAAGAAATTAACAAAGCTAAAGAAACTTAAAAAACTAAATAAGCTAAAAAAAAAATAATGAAACAAAAGAAACTAAAGAATCTAAAGAAACTAAAAAATTTAAGGATCTAAAGAAACTAAAGAAACTTAAGGAACAAAAGAAGCTAAATAAACTAATGAAACGAAATAAACTAAAGAAACAAAGGAAGTCAAGCAACTTAAGAAACTAAGAAATGTAAATAAACTAAAAAAACCGAAGAACCTAAGGAACTAAAGAAACTTAAGAATCCAAAAAAACTGAAGAAACTAAAGAATCTAAAGAAAGTAATCAAACTTAAGAAACTAAAGAAAATGAAGAAACTAAGAAAACTAAAGAAAGGAAAGAAACTTGAAGCAACTAAGAAAACTAATGAAACTGAAGGAACTAAATAAACTAAGTAAACTAAAGAAATTAAAAAAAAAATAAAGAAACTAAAGAAACTTATATCTAAAGAAACTAAAGAAGCTAAATAATGTAAAGAAACTAAATAAATTAAATACTAAGTAAACGGACCAACATATTTTAAATTATAAATTTGAATAGCTTTTAGTTTACCAATTTTGTTTTGGTAATAAGAACTGTCAACATATTTTACGATTTTACTTCATTTTAATTTTCTTTAGAAATTGAAACTAATATTTTTTTATTAAATTAAAGCATTTTATTATAAAATAATAATATAAAATATCCATTCAAACTTAAATCTAAAACCGGCCGAAAGATTCATAAACTGGCGCCCGCCTCGGCCGCGGGCCTTGGCCGTAACCGCCGCACGCCGCTCCGCGCACCGACGGCGGCGCGTGCGCGCGCGGGCGCGACCGCCGCCGCTGCCGCCGCCGCCGCCACCTTCAATCCGAACGCTTCGGCAATCGATCGGTCGAGAGGGGGCGCGCGAATCGCGCCAGTTTGCTGGGTCGCTGTCGAAAGGGTCAACGCCAGTTTCGTTCCGAAAAAGGGGGTTTTGCTAGCGTTAAACGGCATGGACATGAGGGCGGCCGAGGACGAGATCCCAGTGGTGCGCGTTAACGTCCTTGCGAGGTCCCAAATGGCGGGCCACGCGACAGTCTAGTGCTAGGTGACAGGAGCCCCCATCAAGGCACAGCGGCTAGAACAGGCCGCGCTTAAGCGATGCCGTGATGGCGAGAGAGGTACATTGCATCTAGTTACCATAGTCAACCCCCTCAAACCATAAAACCACCAGAAAATCACCCTTGCTAACTCTTCATAGAATCTACTACAAATTTCACACCCAACTCAAAAACACCATAAATTTTACTTTAAATAGGAACCAATAACCCTAATATTACATTCACACCTAAGCCAAAAAAACCATTTAAAAAAATCACAAAAAAACATAAAAACCAACTAAATAATATCACTCATGTTTTGCAATTTGACAGCTAGATTATCAACATTAATAATAAATTAAAACTGTATGCATACATGTAATATACACCCTAACAAAATCGAAAGTAAGAATGTTGGAAGAGTGTTTAGGAAAAGGTTCATTCCAATTAAGTTTGTCGTAAATATTTTTCGGGTGCGACTTCTACTTTACCACACTGATTGAATGTGACCGTAGTTAATTACTCGAAATAATGTCTCCACGTCCAAAAATTGTAAGGTATATCTTTCTTTAAATGTGTTTTAGCTTCGTATAAATGTTTTTGATCTCATTATTAATTATGAATATTTTCCATAATATTTTTTATCTACTCTTACATCGATGAGCTGTTACTTTATGGCGTTTTAGTCACGGGCTGAAGTTATCAATAGTTGCTTTTGTGCATTTTAGTCACGGGCTGAAGTTAGCTTTATTATAAATTAGAGAAAAGTCAAATGTCAAATATTAATGAATTATAAACTTCTCTAGACACTCGTTTTTATTAAACACTCGCTCGCAAGCTTCGCTCGTGCATAATAAAAATGGCGTTTATAAAACTTAATATATGATATACTATTATGTTATAATAAAGCATGAAATAAATAAACTATTAAGATATGCCGTATCCCGGCGCATCCGCCATTTTTGCAAGTTTTTATCTATTTTGCGTTCATAATGACTTGTAATGAGATACTTTATCCCACCCAAAATTTTGATTTTACAGGTTGGCTATACTTTAAACAGCATAATATTTTGCATATTGGTTATAATATTTTTATGATTTTTCTAGTACTTACTAGATTTTCTGGCAATAAATTTTGTTTAACACCAAGGAAAATCCTTTTTTTCTTCTTTAACATTAACAGCCGCTTATTGTAAATAAGTAAATTAAGCATGGCATGGCGAATCGATTTTGACATTAACTGTCAAACCAATGACTGTGATACCAACTATCTAAAGTAAAATTCGAGCAAATTAAATTTAAGGTATAAAATTAATTTTTTTATAGAATTTTTGCAAAATAGATAAAATAGCATAAAGAACTCATGTCATAAGACCTTTTATCGCACTCGTCCATTAAATTGTCCGCGTGCGAAAAAATGACGTCTTATGACATTAGTTCTTTAATATAATAATACAGGTTTTTATGGAAAACACTGGTAATTCTAGGATAATACTCTGTAAATCATTTGGAACCAAAAATGTATGCATTTTGCTCAATTCTGGATTTTTAATTTAATCAAATGTTTCCGATATTTAAATCAAATGTTTTTTTAAATTAAAGATGATCATCCTAGAATATCCTAAGTGTTCTTTATAACACCCTGTATACCTTTTTTGCATTAAAGGCTTTAGCTTTATTTAAAAAGTGTTTCTTGGTGTTAATAATTATTATTAATTATTAATCATTCATCTAAATTTATAAATAAAAATTCTTAAAATTGTAAATGGAGAAAATATTTTTTAATTCATAAATATTATTCGGCTCTAAAATCGTATTATACAGGGTGTCCCAGAAATTGCTAGGAGACGATAGAACATTGTTGTCTTAAAACTTTTAAAAGCATTTTGTCCGACTGAATAACTTACTTCAGGACGCTGAACTGTGAACGCTTGCAACTTCCCTTATGCTCTTCCTACTATTTGCATAGAAGACATTGAAAATAGCTTCTTTTTCTACTCCTATTGCATATTTTTGACATTATTATTTCGTAAACAATGGTAACCAATATAACCACCCGGGAAAATGAACTCATTATTCACGTTGTTAGGCATCAGTGATTGGCTGATTTCAATATTCACTGTTATTTGAACCAATCGGGTTTTAAATTTGGGAAAAGTAAGGTTAACAGATGTCATATTTATTTATATATTCGAGGGGTGACTATAATGATTTTTAAAATCGGGAAAAAGTGAGGTTATATATATGAAAATTACTTAATTGGAGTAGAAAAAGAATTAGTATTAAAGAACTAATGTCAAAAGACGTATTATGAGTTCTTTATGCTATTTTATCTATTTTGCAAAAATTCAAAAAATAATTTTATACCTCAAATTTAATTTGGTCGAATTTTAGTTTTGATAGTTGGTATCACAGTCATTGGTTTGACAGTTAATGTCAAAATCGATTCGCCATGCCGTCCTTAATTTACTTAGTACAATAAGCGGCTGTTAATGTTAAAGACGAAAAAAGGATTTTCTTTGGTGTTGCCAGAAAAGTCTCTTAAGTACTAGAAAAATCATAAAAAGATTATAACCAATATGCAAAATATTATGCTGTTTTAATGAAAACGATGGAAAAAACTCGTTCTGCCTCCCCAGCATTGCGCCCATACTCCACATAAATAATCATTTTCGGCATAATCAGGGAGGAAAACAACTTAAAATGATAAATAATGACAGGAACAAAAATTACAATATCAACAATGCATCCTAAGTACCCTTGCAATTTAAAGAATTCCGTATGGTTATGTATTGGGTTTGGCCATCTTTTTTTATTCTTTGAACGAGTTCTGGGACCCCTGTATTTTTAAATAATTGTCTGTAGGTTCGTTATTCTTTTCTACTTTGCTATTTATTTATATAATCTTGTTGCACATCTTTAAGATCTACTTATTGGAGACGGTGATTTCTGAAGGGTTAATATCTTGTTGGTTGTTACCTTAGGTGGAAGGATAGATAGATAGTGAGGAGGCTGAGAGGAAGACAGAAGTAGTTAGATGGCACGGTGTGAATCAGTGACTGAGAAAGAGCATGGGCATGTCGCGGTATCGGATTGAGGAGTAGTAGGCGGCGGTTTAACGAAAGAGAGAGAGAGAAAGAGTTGTGAGCGCGTCGCTCGGTGTTTACCTCTCGCGCCGTAGCGCGGGCGTACGGCGAACTAGGTGCAAGCAGACAGGGCAGTAGGTGTGGAGTAGGTCAGGTTTGATCGAGATGCGAGCGGGTGCAGACGAGTGAGCGCGGATTTATTCCTGTCGGAGTGCTGACGACATGGGTGTGTTGCAGGAATCCCGAGGAAAGAGGCCCTTCAAGTTATGGGACGGGCGACGTAGCGTACGCAAGGGGCTGGTGGTGGGAACCTTGGAGGAGCTGCTCCAGCGCGGCAGAGACAAACTCGGCCTTCCGAACGCTGAGTCGGTGCGTGTGGTGCTAGAGAACGACGGGACCCAGGTGGACGACGCGGACTACTTTCGCACCCTTCCTGCGAACACCGTCCTCCTGCTCTTGAGGCCTGGAGAGCGATGGTTGCCCGCTGGAGTGGACGTCATCAGAGCAGGTAGGTACACCCTTAAATACTCCACTTGAAACTAGGTTACAGAACACGCGCCACGACCCTCCTCAAATCGTCTGAAACTAGGTGCCCCAAATTCACACCCATTTCTAGAAATCTAGAGATCGTTTCATCATCAAAACAAAAACACTAATCGGCCAGTGAATCATTCAGCAACTGCATCGCTCCTCTCGAAAATATCCCGGAATACTACGAGTTGTAAACTACGGGATAGTTCGTTGAACTCGGAATGCAATATGTTGCTGCTACCATTATTGAAACTAGGTTAACATTTTTCAACCATTTTCACCATTTAAATGTTTATGTTTTGCTTTTAAAACACTTTCAACAACATTTCCCCAATATATTTTACTTTTTTAAACCACACCTAGGTTCTTTTAATAAATCTAATGCCCCAAGAAAGAGTGTAAATCAAGAAATATACAGTGAAAAGATTACCTGCTGAAATTGTTTCTCATTATTTTCCAAATTAAATAGTTCTTATAAATATATAAAAGGCTTGTTAACTTGGGATGGGAAATCTTCACCATTTGGAAAAACTACAACGTCGATGATTGCAGTTTTTCAGGGCATCAAAATTTTTTTAACCTCAGTAAAATTTGAGTTTTTATGATATTGATATTGAAATTAACTTTCCATTTTTACACAATGTCTAAAACTCCATGTTGCAACATATTGCTGATGTACTCATGAGATGCATCCTATCTCATCTAATTTTTCCCAAATGGTGCAAAATATTTTGACGGAAAAAGTGGAAAAACTACAATGACGAAGATTGCAGCTCTTCAGAGCAGCAGAACTCTTTGATCTTCAGTAAAAATCGAGTTTTTATGATATTGAAATTTTAACTTCATCTCATCTAATTTTTTCCAAATGGTGCAAGTCTTGTAAACTTGGAAAACAATGAAAAATTTTTATCAAAAATATTATTGACGGCAGTTTTTCCAAATGGTGCAGATTCATTTGGAAAAACTACAAACGTTGAAGATTACAGCAATTCAGGTCAGCAGAACTCCTTGATCTTCAGTAAAAATCGAGTTTTTTTATGATATTGATATTGAAAATTTAAATTCTCATTTTTATACAATGTCTAAGACTCCATGGTGCAATATATTGCTGAAGTACTCATGAGATGCATCTCATCTCATCTTATTTTTCCCAAATTGTGCAAGTCTTGTTAACTTGGGATATAATGTAAAATTTTTATCAAAAATAAATCTGCACCATTTGGAAAAACTACAAACGTTGAAGATTACAACATTTCAGGGCGGCAGAACTCTTTGATTTTCAGTTTTTATGATATTGATATTGAAATTTTAACTTTTCATTTTTACACAATGTCTAAACTCCATGGTGCAATATATTGCTGATGCATCTCATCTCATCTATTTTTTCCCAAATGGTCTTGTTAACTTGGGATACAATGTAAAAATTTTATCAAAAATATTATTGACGGCAGTTTTTCCAAATGGTGTAGATTCATTTGGAAAAACTATAAACGTGAAGATTACAGCATTTCAGGGCAGCACAACTCCTTGATCTTCATATATTGCTGATGCACTCATAAGATGCATCTTATCTCATCTAATTTTTTCCAAATTGTGCAAGTCTTGTTAACTTGGGATATAATGTAAAAAATGTATTGAAAATATTTTTGACGGAAAATCTGCCCCATTTAAAAATCGAGTTTTTATTATATTGATATTGAAATTTTAACTTTCCATTTTTATACAATGCTGATGCATCTCATTTTAACTAATTTTTCTCAAATGATGTAGAAATAAGAAACATTTTTTAAATTATACAATAAAATATAAAATAAAAAAAAGCTCAAACAGTTTATTTTTTGCGCGAAAAACAAATATTGCCGCAATTTCTTTTTGCCATGGTAAAGCGTCGAAGCGCTCCCAAACAAAAAACGGGTTAACGGCATCATTTGTTTTTCGTCAATAATACATAGACTGTATACAGTCTTAAGTCTTGCTAAACACGGTGTTTTTGTCTCATCAACAGAAATATTTTTTGTTTACCACTCTATTTCTTGGATAGGCATAAATATTTACTTTCAAGGGAGTTTTAAGATGCGAATAATAGAAAGGGGAGGTTGTGTCGCGTGGTTGTGTTGGACACGATGGTGACTGGGTTCGTTTGTTAGTAGCCATCTCAGCGATTCCGAAGATAGTTTGCGAGACGATTCACGCGCTCGAGCTGCAAGATGAGACGCCCTCGTGGAAAATCATGGATAACAAGGGTCGCGTCACGGTCGTGCTGCACTGGGACCAGCGGTCGTCCGGTCCGTCAAGAGTGTCGTCCTCCGAAGCGCCCTCGCCTTCCCCCGGAAAGTTCTCCCCTAGCAAACGACCCTCTCTGGTGATCTCGACGCAGGTGGGTGGTCAGAGGGAGCAGCAGCCGAGGTACCCCAGCCCGCAGATCACCGTGATAAACCACGACGACGTCAACAAGCCGGCGCACCGGCTGTCCAAGCAGAGCTCCTCGCTGGAGAGCGCCACCATCCACATCCACACGCCCGAGTGCGCGCACCACGCGCACATGCCGCGCGCGGGCAGCCCGCAGAGCAACGGCGGCATCGAGTGCGACTTCCACTGCTGCGCGTTGCACGAGGAGGGCAGGAAGATCGCGGTGCACAAGAGCGTGGCCACCTCGCCCATCCAGGACGCGCAGCAGACCTCCCCGCAACCCCCCTCGTCGCGTCACGTTCGTTTTTTAGACATTGAGGGTGGCGGCCGGCACAGCGGGCAGTCCGAGTCGCACGAGTCGTCGGAGTCAGAGACCGACAACACGGTGATGGAGGACGAGGCCGTCACCTCGGAGAAGTTCCTGCTGCTGATCGATCAGCTGAGCGTCGATCAGAAGCGACACCTCAGCATCAAGGACATCGGCATCATCCTGGAGCGGCTCAGCTCCAAGATCCTCGACGTCGAGCGCTTGGACAGGGAGAGCGAGAGCGACGACTGCTACAACTGGACGATCAAGGCCACCATCAGGGGCGACGTGCTCAGGGAGCTGGGCGTCATCTACAACGGGAACTACTACGCCATCTCTGAGCATCCCGGCTACCGGGACGAGAACGAGGGCGTCGTCGAGGAGGCCGAGGAGGAGGAGGAAGAGGAGGACCGGCTGTGAGAAACGATTGCCACACAGCTACCACCCCATACTGCCAAATATGTCGTAATATGCACAACCTAACAGACTCTCGATCTATCGTTCGTTAATCGTTACATTTAAACAAACAGGTGCGATGATGCTCACTCACTCGACCACTCCCATTTTAACCCCCATCCCATTTCAATCCGATCGACCACATTTCATTTAATAATTCTTCGTGTTCTTGAGGTACTATCCTCCACTCCAAAAAACTCCATTTTGAAATGTTTGAAGCCTTAAGATAACAAAGAACAACAACAATAAATAATAGTGTATTATGCTGAAAGAAGAAATGCTTTCTTAAAGCCTGAAAATTGCAGAAATATATATCTGATGGTAATCTTATATTAAAAATTTAATTTATATATTAGATAGAAGTAAAAAAATATTCTTGTCTAGCCTTTTGTGGATGTTTTGAAAGGCTAGCCGTAGAAACCCCGACATCTATACGAAAACGCACCAATTAACCACCCCAACATTTCTTAATTAAACTTTAAAATATTAAAATAACTATAAAATATGATTATGTTAAGAAACTATTTCACCCTTCCCCATTCACATTTCAAAGTGGGCCGTTTTGGCGTGGAGGATACACGCGAAATTGATTCAATGAAATACGATTCATCCTGCCTGAATTCTTCCTGATTTAATCAATCGCATATCGATTGCTCGGTTTGTTGTTTTCACGATAAATATCATCATCCACCAACATAGTCATCATCATCATCGAGTGTAGCTCAATAATCGTTCAAAAAATACGCATGGACTCATCGACACTCTGTACATACAACATTCTTCACTTAATAACGAAGCAGGAGAATACAAAAAAATTAAAGAAAAGTGTGGTGCAGGGACGATTGTGACTTTTACCAAAATTAGTTAGGTACCAACAAACAAACAAAAAATCTATAGATGCGAGAATCGGTAGACAATCGTTAAAAGTCGATTCATCATCAACAACTACTACTACTACTAATACTACTACTAACCGGTTATACACTTACACTAAAAAAAATTACCTAATTCACGAAACATTTCGTTTATTGCTCTTTAAGTCCAGTCATTTAGTCAGAAGATTCCTTTGGAAAATAAGCTATACAATCACTTCTCAATTCAGTCACTACACGTCAGATATTTATTTTCAAGTTTTGTACCAGTCAGTGTGGAACTCATAAGTGTTTTTATAATCAGTGTGCTGGTGTTGGTGAACCTGTTCCGTACTAAGAGAGACAAAATTCAATCGTTGAAATTGTGAATTTTTCCTTAAAAAAACCTTAAATACGTTCCGTATCGGAACATTGGCGTAACTAAGTGTATTTCATTTGAAATAGTTCCCCTATAAAAAGAACCAGATTTTCGTAATGCTTGGAAAAATATCTGATCGAGATCTAATAAACGAAATATTTCCGTAACACTGTGGACAAGAAAAAAGGTGCTAAATGATACCTAATGAATTAGTCAAAAATAACTACTCTCTAAAAATTAATTAGTTAAAAATGACTAATTACTACAGTTATTAGTGGCTGCTTTTTTACTTAACAGCCAATTCGTATGTAAAATTTTCCCCTGAACCCGAAAATACCATCAAAAGTTATGAAAGTAGAGCAGTTTTTGAGATATAGTCAATTCCATATTAAATGGAAAATTGACTATATCCCAAAAACTGTCCAACTTTTTTAACTTTTGACGACATTTTCGGATTCGGCGGTCAATTTTACATAGGAATTGACTACTAAATGTCCGGTATACAAAATGATGTGGACGAGAATTATTAGTGGCTGGTTTTTCGCTATGACAATTAGTAATTTTTGTCTAATTCATTTTTAGAGAGTTCAATATCGGTTCAGCTCTTTTGAACTTGTAAATGATTAAAAAATGATGAAAATGATCTTTATAGAAAGCAATAAACCAATCATCTGCATGTTTTATTACCTCCTATATAGATCATTTTATAAAGCCCCCTTTTTCTTGCCCCCCTGTGTAATTATTCAATAATTGTTTAAGTGTGTGTAAAAATTTGTAGAATAACTGAGACATTTTGGGGCGGACGTCGAATCGCAAGTCCGTCAAAATAAAATTAAAACACCCAAAACCCAAAAGTAATAAATGCGAGATTTTTGAGGGAAAAAGTGACCCCCGCACCGCGTCGTTCGGTGGGAGCCATAGTTTAATATTGCTTTATACTTTTTATATTCCGTGTATTATGTACACGAGTACATAGTCGATCTAAAGTTAATTATTTTTAAGACATTAATAGGGCATCGTTCATAGGAAAACTGAAAAAATATTTATAACAAGTTGTCTAGGAAATAAAAGTATTTATCATTCGGTTATTATTATTATTATTATTACACTTCTCAGCTCAATAACAAGTATTATCACTAACAAGGCACCTCAAATGGGATACATTTCACATTTTTTTTGTATAGTTAGTAATAGTCGTTCTAGTGTTTCCTAAAATTTGACACTTTTCTTTCTATAGAAACCAATCAAAGCACAGCACTTATTGTGCCGTGTTCTGATTGGTTAAGAAGCTTTCTATAGAGATCATTTTCTACAGAAAGCAATGTCGCAAAACTTCAAGAAACTTTTTCAAACTTTTAGTTGCTTCTTTTTTCTCTTTCAATAAAATGTTTTTAATTGCAAGATACGTAAATTAAAACTATACAAAATAAATGATAAAAGGGTGTTTTTAGTGCCAAATCATTTGGAATCAGAGGTGCATTTTGGTGTACTTATTTTCATTATTGAAATATATGTTGATTAGGGTGATTCACAAAAATGGAATATTTTTCTTACTTTCGACGACATTAATAGAAAGAAGTTTTTCATTTTTTCTTTAGTCCCTTATACACTCAGGCAAAATAATTGATACACCCAAATTTTCGATGAATTTCAATCGAAAATAACTTTTTTATTTGATGTTGGATTTAAACGAATATTAAAGAATATCGTATAAATTACTAAAAAATAGACATGCGTTTATAATATACAGGTTTAAACAAAAATATGTTTTTTACCATAAGTTTAAGGCACTCTGTAGAGTGGCAAAACCGTATATTGTTCTAAATTAAGTTTTATTTATCAACTCACATCTATTTTTAACAGTTTTGTTTTTGGTTCACCTCGATATATTTATTTTTGTAGAAAATATGGATTTTTTTAAAAAACATTGCAATTTCCAATATTTTTCTGTATGAAGAACTAAGGTTGCTATGGTCCATCTATATGCTATGGAGAATGACAGTGACAGCTTTGTTGAATCATCCCATACTTGGACATGTCATACACGGCTTTCAAAAGCTATCAAATTGTTTTTTGCAAATAAATGTTTAAATTTTGAGGTGTCTTCTCACTTTAAAAATGGATATGTCCCCGACTGATGTTGCCAGAGCCATTAATTTAATCCAGGATGGACGGTCACAGTATTACGTGGCAAGTGTTTTAAACGTCACAAGAAGTAAAGTACAAAGGGCAACATCAGTCGGAGACATTTTTAAAAGTAAGAAGACACCTCAAAATTAACACATTAATTTACAAAAAACAATTTGATAGCTTTTGAAAGCTGTATATGACATGTCCAAGTATGGGATGATTCAACAAAACTGTCACTGTCATCCTCCGTAGGCTATGGATGGACCATAACAACCTTAGTTCTTCATACATGAAAAATATTGAAAATTGCAATGTTTTTTTTTAAATCCATATTTTCCACAAAAATAAATATATCAAGGTGAACCAAAAACAAAACTGTTAAGAATAGATGTGACCTGATAATTAAAACTTAATTTAGAACAATATACGGTTTTGCCACTCTACAGAGTGTCTTAAACTTATGGTAAAAAACATCTTTTTGTTTAAACCTGTATATTATAAACGTACGTGTATTTTTTAGTAATTTTTAAAATGTGAGCGATTCTTCATTAATGTATCTACAATATTCTTTAATATTTGTATAAATCCGAAATCAAATAAAAAAGTTATTAGCGATTGAAATTCATCGAAAATTTGTGTGGATCGATTATTTTGCCTGTGAGTGTAGAATACCATATTTTATTATTAATGAATCGTTTTATTAAATCTTTATGCATATTTTTGTAGGAAGAACCAAATTTTCAGTTTTGGAAGTAAAAAATACTCGATTTTTTTGTATCACCCTAATGTTGATATGTGATAATTTTTTATATTACCAAGGTCTGTAGCGAATATTATTAATACTAAGTGGCTAAGTACTTAAAACGAAAAAATTAAGGCTTGTTCGTTCTTACCAAAAGCTTTATTACAAAATGCCACCCTGCACCCTGTGTTGTCCAATCCGGAACCCATATAAAAGGTGATGAATATTTGAACAAAAATATGTGATCCCTCTAAATTTTTAAGTTTTTTTTAGAAGACAGTACAAATATTTTTAAAGGTATTGTTAAATGTCAGTTATGTCAAAAATTAAGCTTGTTTTTAAAACTTTTGATGGTTATACAATTTAGTTGTTAATAAAATAATAAATCACACTGTATATGGGTCTAGATTTGAAAGCACTCAACGCTTCAACAAATACTTAAATTTATTTTGATTGTATCACGGTAAGTGCTGGGCGATTTTTTATGTTTTTTGGTTATTGTTCGTCATTTGTTTCAAGACGAGGCAATAGAATGTAAAAAATTGCCCGGTAATTTATCGTCAAATAACAATTATTGACTTTTTATTATAACGCCATTAGTGTTTAAATTTAAAAAAATAATAAACAATCTCGACGAGATTTTATCAACAAACACTGCCAAGATGGGAAAGCGAACAAAACAATTTTAGAGGCAGAAATTTGAGATTTACGTGTTAAATTTTTTATTAGTTTGATAAGCATAATTAAGTAATTTTTTTACGGAATTCTGGATCTCTGGATTATTTACATTGAAAGTAACCACATAAAATATGAGTAAATTCTGTAAAAAAATTACTCTAAAAACAGAGCGAACTACTCATATTGTTATGATCAGCTGATTGGGCGGGGTTTTTAGCCGGGTCAACTTGGCTGACCCATTTCTCCGGAGAGGGCGAAGACACCGACCAACCCGCCCCTGTGCACCCCAAACCAAAACCCGCTATACAGGACCACGCGAAAAAACAGGTCATGTAATGTTTTTACTAAAATGAGTTTTTTGAAGAAATGCTTTTTAGTCATGGTTCGGTTTGAGCTTTAAAACAAGTTTAGAAAATATCATTATTAGTTTGTATATACATATACAGGGTGAGAGAAACCAGAATTACACCAAAATTATTTATTTTTTTAAAAATGGCGAATGCTCCGGGATTAATACAATTAAATTTGCATTTGGCTGGTTTATGAATTTATATTACAGTTTTTTTTTATTATTACTATAACATTTTTCAAAAAAATATATATATGGGTGATTCTACAAAAGTTGGACAACTTGATGTCATCAGTCAATAGAGTATGTATTTTAATATTTTTTGTAAATATTTTAGTATATTACAAAAGATCCCCCCAATTTTAATGTATTTTTTCAAAAGCACGTTTGTAGAAAAACATAATAAATATTCAAAACATTGAATAATAGCAATTTTTAAAAAATTGATAATCTTTGTACTCACTTTTACCCGTCAGTTCTGTGTCCAATGTTAAAATTCAAAATTCCTGCGAAATATTAAAGTTTAAACGTCAAGTCCTCGTTTTAACTCAAGTGATGGTAAAAAATTACCTACAGAGCCCGCCCTTTTATTTGCACGACAGTCATCTTGAAAACAATGCAAGTGGCGAAGTTGTGGTGGATGCACGTATAGTTCCAGTCAAAATTTCAGTACTGTGGTGAGTAGTTATTTTCTTACGTATATATATTTCATTGTAATTTATATAAGGCTATATGTGATTTGTTGATAAGTAGCATCCACTAATAAAAAATATCAGTAAAATACTTAATTCCGAATTATAATCTCAAATTTGTTCGATGTTTCGGTTATCTTTTTTTCGCAAACTTCAATTTAAATTCTGCTTGCGCAGAACTTGTTTATTTAATGTCATTATAAACTAATAATTGATATAAACTAATAATTGATATATCGGTATACCCAAAATCCACCAGCCGCCACTGATGTGTGGTATTATTTGATTTTAAGATATTTAATGTATAATATGCTCAAAGTTGCAATTAATCATATATTTTCCAATAAATTATGTATTTAATTAGTACCCTGGTATACTCGTCACTTCCCTTGCATTCAAATTTAGAAAACACAGATATTTCGGAAACTGTTTGAAAAAGTGACTGGCTCGGTCTGGAACAGTATATTTATTATATTATCTATGTTCTCATAACAAAATACTATTTAATTTTCTCCGAAAACTATATAAACAAAATGAGGTCAACTTTTGTAGAATCACCCATACATATGTATACTTTAAAATTAAATAATTTAACGTTATTTTGCAAAATTTAATCTAAACTGTCAACACTTAAAATTGACCCATTTTATTTGTTGATATCCCTCAAAGGAAATTTAATAACGTTTAACGAAAAAATACATCATTAGCCCTAACGATTTAAATCCTCCGTTCCCGTTAGCAAATGGTAAACATGTGATTCTGCAGCAAA